CTATTACTTTCTTCTACTTGCTTACAAACTTCTTTGAATAAAAACTTAAACTTCTGATGGCCTAAATAAACTCAAATACTCACTTCCTTTACTAAAGACAAAAAGGTTTTAGGAAGTAAAAAAACCAACTTGTAGAGGATCACCTTTCAAAGCTAAATATGACATGGTAATAGAGGTTTTCTGAATAGGAGAAGACTTATTATTTACTTTCTCTATTGTCTCTTGCCCTCTTAGAGTGTCTATAGTTTTTTCATGATTTTTTGAGAAAATTTTGCCTATTCCAGTTTGACCCTAAATTTTTAGTAGCACAACATCATCTAGTTTCTAATTGGCTGATATGAAACATGTTGGTAGCAAGATATAAACAAGATTTCTTATGTGTCTCGATAATATTATTTATGAAACAAAAGAGAATTAATCAGTATGAAATCCTTCACTCCTCCAAATGAAGTGTAACTAAAGTAAAAAGATCATAAGACCATTAGAACAAACATTAAATTCTCTAAGTGGTAAAAAGGTGGTTATTTGTTTAAACTGAGGTCTTCAACTTCTTATTATCCTAGTTAGGTTAAGTATGTGAAGGAAATTATTTCTTTATTTCAATCAGACAATAAGATCAAAAAGCAGAAGACTGTAAGTTATTTTTCTTCTCTAAAATTGAGAATGCATTTTTCCAGATATTGTATAATAATATTATAATCAACAAGAATCCCTACTGCTTTTCTAATATCCTCCCACCATTATGAAGCAAAAAAATCTTTAAAGAATGACTATTTTGGGCAATGAAAGATATACATCAATAAAATTTCTTTAATTAGGTTGACTGTTGGAAGATATTATAATTATATAATATAATTGAAAGGTTACATAAGAATCTGGGATCCATTATAAGTTGTTGCTTAGCGCGGATGGATAAAAAATCAATACCAAAAAAAAGAAAGTAATGAACAAGAAGCTGAATCTGAGTAAATAATAAGTATCTCAAATAGTCACAAGAAAATAATCAAGATTATAAATAAATAAGTTTCTAAGATAATTAGGAAAAAAAAGAATATTTCAGAAGGATTGTTTTCTAATGAGGGGAGATTTTTTAGTAGAAGTTCTTTGAAGGACATAAAGTATTTTTATTTTTTATTTTTTTCTTCTTTTCTTTTTATATAAACATATTTATGCATTTTTAGATATTACCTTTCCTTTTATTTTTTCTTTTCCCTATTGTAGTTTCTAAAAATCAGTTTCTTGAAGGATAATTGGTAACAACAATCTGCTGGCAATAATAAAAAGGTTAGGAGGGCCTTCATCCAAAATCTATTTCAGAGCAAAATATTATCCTCAAGGTCACACTTAGAGACTTGAAGCTTATTTGAGAACTGAAAGTAACGAGTGAGTCAATATGAGATTTAGTTTAGCCAAGATATATTTGTCTAATGTATTATACATAATTTTATTATTTATGATTAATAAATGCATTATGCTGGCTTGACTATAGGTTTAAAAAAAAAAAAAAACAAACAAACAAACAAACTTTTACTAATAATAATAATATATTTTACAAAAATAATTTTTTTCAATTAAATAAGTTTTTAAAAAAAATACTCATAATATTAAAAAATAAGCAAAAAATATATAATATAAAATTTTTATTTCTTATTAAGTTTTTCAAATAGAAAAAGAATTTTTTTTAAAATTAAAATTTTTGAACTTTTATTTCAATTGAATAAAGTTAAATACTATTGATATTATTATTTTAATTAAATCATAAATCCAAATCTTATAGATAAAAAATATTAAATAAGATTTTCTATTTTAAAAACTTAAAATAATAAGCTTTTCAAATAATATATAATCTTAATAATCAATGAATAAGTTTTTTAAATAATTCAAAGTTAAAAAAAATTTCAATCAAATAAAAAAATTTTAAAAGAAGATTATTTATATAAATTTTTGAAAAACTTTGAATTGATTTTTTTATTTTCTTCTTTTTCTTTTTCTCTATATATTAATTTGGCAATTTAAAATAATCTATAATAACAAATTATTAATAATATTCTAATAAATAGAGATAAATAGTTAATCTATTAAGAAAATAAAATATTATTTTCTAAATCAAATTTAGAATATTTAATTAAGATTTTATTTTATTTGGTCTAAACTAGCTTAGTAAACTCATCATATTTCTAAATAATATAGTTTTTAACTAATAATATATAAAAACAAATTAATTATTATATGATAGTAGATTAAAGAAACAAATTTGCAGTAATAATCTACAGATAATAATATTAGAAGTTGAAAGGATATTTACCTGAACTTCTAACAGAACAACAAATTATGTCTTAAGTTGCACTTAGAAAGGTAAAACAACCAAGATGAATGAGTTAGTTAAAGAATTAGCTTTAGTGTCTCATGTTATATATATAACTTACAAATATTTAATAAAGTACAGTATATGTAACTAACCTAACAGAGGGCAAAAAAAAAAAAGTGGATTAAAAAAACAAAAAAACAAACCAAATTAATTATTATATGAAAGTTTATATAATATTATAGATATTTATTTAATATCTCAATAAAAACAAATATGTTATAATGATAGGATTATAGATTAAATAATAATAATAATAATAATAATTAATTTGAATATTTTATAGTTAATTCTTCTTTCCTTAAAAACTTTATTATTAATAATAATAAAAATATTATTTAAATTTTTCTTGATTACAAAAAATCGAGTTTTTGATTAAAAGGTTTATAAACAAAAAAGAAAAAGTAGTTATAATTTTTGAAGAAACTTTTCAAGTTAAATTAAAGTTGAAATTTATTGTATATTTTAATTTGATTTATGGTGGTGACACATTAGTGAAACCAAGATGCGTGTGTGCGTGTGTACATATTCAGGTTCAAGGTTGTCACTCTCTTATACAACATTCTAAGCATATAACAAAATGGCCAGAGAAGAATACAGTGTAGTGGTTGAAATGGACGATGATGTATGCTTGAAAGAATCTGATCATTAAATTCTAGTTTCAAATCTTAACATTGGTTAAGTCAGTTCTTTTCATGTAACACTTAGAACCCTATCTTAAGGGAAGAGCTTGAATTTCAAGGTCAGGAAGTTTATCTCAACGATCGCTTGCAAATTTAGCACGATGTTAAATAATTTCTGTGCAAATATAGATTTCTCTTCGGGATCTGGCGTTGGTGGGAAAATTACCCAAGACAAACAGCAGACATCTAGTCACACAGGTATCTTCTCCACGAGATTTTATGATACACATTTTTTTTTTAAAAGATGCGCCTGAAACCATTTATTTAATTCATGCCAAAGGATTTAATGAAGCTTCATTCTTTGAGCCACACGAAACTCGTACAGAACAACAAAGTGGTCAGTACCCATTTTGGGCGATTGAGTACTATGCTCATTACTTTGATGTGAATACGGATCAGGTACTTTGCCAAATTGTGTTGATGAATTCAACTTTTCCAACCTGAGATTAATTTTCCTCTGATTTTTTTCCCCTTAGGTTCTTGTGCGTGCGTTCAAGAGTCTTTATCCTAAAGAAGAATTTACCGAGGTAGTTGGACACAATGTCAATACGGATTTATACGGTAAGCTCATTGTAAGGTATTTCGGGTGCATATAAAAATCTTACGAAGGACTTATTTTTATTTGATTCTAGGCCCTTTCTGGATATCGACAACTGTAATATTCTTGCTCTTCGTGACATCGTCTATCGCTGGATCAATTGCCGCAATAATTAATGGAAACGACAATTACAGCTATGACTTCAAAATTTTATCATTTGGTGTTGCCGCTATTTACACATACACCTTTGGAATCCCTCTCTTTGTGTGGGTTGCTTTAAAATATTTTGGATGCAAACCCTCACTCTTGAATGTCGTTGGATTGTATGGATACGGGTTAACCGTGTGGATTCCAGTTTCTGTTAGTATATTTGTTATCATCCGAGAATTCACGGTGCGACGTTTAAGCTGATGACTTGTTCATTATAGATCATCTGTGTGGTACCCATTGAGATTCTAAGATGGACACTTGTCATTTCTGGCTTCTTAATCTCTGGTGAGCTTTATTCTTCTAATTGTCCACTTGTTACATTGGCGAATTCATAGGCATCATCCTCAATAGTGTCGATATGTATATCTGTTTAGGTTTTTTCATATCGAGAAATCTCTACACGGTGATATCTGCGGCCGAAGCAAAGACTGCTCGTTTATTTTTAATTGTTGTATTAGTAGCACATGCTGCGTTTTCAATGTTGTTAAAATTGGAATTCTTTTCTTACTCAACAAAATTAGATTAAGCATTGTTTTCATTAGATAATTTAAAATAATAATGAATAATCGAATACGATAGACTCGAGTATACTTTTTTTTGAAGAACCTGATGGTAGGCTTGATATTAAATAATATAATAATTAGTAATGTTTAGTAAAGGGGCGATCAACAACTCATAGTTACCTCGTTTGCACGTAAGATAATTGATCTATCGGTTGAGGTGTCTATGTAAACATAAAATTAAAATGTACTATACAGTGACAAAAATCTTTCAATAAACTCTACACTTAGCCATAAATATAAAAATGTATAAATAACAATGAAAAGGAAAAAAAAAAGAAAAAAAAAAGAGGAGATTATAGGATCATGCTCTAGACAAATGACTTGGCGCATTGTGAAATAGGCTTTTCCACATGTAGGCCTCTGACAATAAAAGTTCAATGTCTTTCTCGCTCCAATCGGAGGTCGGCAGTGATTGTAAGAACATCATGATTCCCTAATTTATGCATTATCGGTTAATTGGCAAAAGGTAAACAAAAATTTGACCGATTGCCAACACAACTATTCGCTTGGCACCCACCTGAAAATCCATTGATCTTATTTTATCTGACCATTTAACCAAAAATGCGGCACACACATACAAATGGAATTCCGAGAAGCCGTCCGGTCCTTCAGCCTAATTTGAAGTGCAAACCATGAATGCTGCTTTCACGTCCTCACATCAGATGTTGAAGCACCACTCTTACCAAATAAGTATCCCACATTCTTATAGTGTTCTTTAATGACATCTCTCTCATGAGCAAACAATTCATCCACCGAAAAGCAAATTGTATAAATTCCAAACCTTCTTCCTGTAGGTGCGTCGCCAAGGGCTCTATTGGACAATTTAATTGAGAATAGAAATTTCATGTAAGAATGATATGCTTGTTTTACAAGATATAATTCGAATTGATCAATACCATCAATCCGATTAATCAAGTCCTTCAATTTATTTATTTGCCGTTGTATTCCCGGTTGTGCGAATGTGTAATTATCCTACGACAAGGAAATTGTCAAGTTAAAACATTTTTCAGGTAGAGCTTACTGCCTAAACCCATACGAACCTGAATACCGTCGAGCAATTTAGATAGGCTCCAAAAACTGTCGGCCTCGATGACGTTCAGAGCTTCCTTTGGAAGGTTGCCTGGATCGTAAACTTCGGGGTCTTCATCTGTTGAAGGATGCGATTGTGTAAACAAACATCTGTAACGAATTCTGAACGATCAAGCGATAAAAATTGTACGCACCTATATATGCGGAGAGGAAAACCTGAAAGAACGGTGTGACAAGGTCATTGATTCCTTGAACATACCCACTAGCTGGGTGTCTGATAGCCCACACATATAGGATGCGTTCGAGGCACTATGTTGCAAAATCGATAAATAATGTGCCAACAATTGAATCCATAAAAACGAATTACCTGCTGTGTCGTTTCATATTGATAGAGTGCAGTTCCAGGATTCGTTCGAGGGACATCGATGTGAATCTGTCGTGTATTGATAAAAGCTAAAGTGTTAATAAAATGCCGAGATTATTTTAACTTATCAACGTCAAAATCAATTTCTTTATTATTATTTAATAATGCTAACTTGATGCCATATTGTCTGATCCAATCCAGCAATTCCTCGTGAGTAAGCTTGTGAAACGCTGTCTTCGTATTCTTTCCGTTTACGCGCCAAGGTTGCTACACGACGGTCCGAGTTACATGGGAGGTATCCCTTGAAAATAAAAAACCTTGGTCAGAACTACTTCAACAATAATAAGATTAAGGATCTAACCAACATGAAATGTCGCGCACGCTTACAAGAAGCAATTGCCAAGCCATAGGTCGCAACTCATCCGGTATGCCAGACCAACTAAGCTGCCTTAATGCAGCTTGAATATTGTAAAAGTAAGATGGGTTATCTTCAAAGGATTCGTATCAAATTCCAATGTAATATCGCAAATTGGTCAAAGTTTACCTAAATCAACGTTGGGGCTTCGCAAGGCATCTTTAAACTTGTTAAATCTTGTGTTCAATCTTACCCTTTCCGCTTCGCTCTGTCGACTATCAAATGCACCAGGCGGCTTCATTGAACTAATCAAATTCATGGGATCTATTGAGAGAACGAATTCAAACTCGATCAGCAGATTGGTGACAATCAAACGGCCACCGAATAAATTTATCTGACCTTGGACCAATCCAGCAATTTCAGCCTTTATCCCGACTGCACTTTTCTCAACAATCTCAGGCTGTGCAATAGCCAACTCTGGTACTTTTTCCTTTTCCTTATCCTTCGTTTGCAAACCCATGGGTTGGTTCTGGATCTTTCGCTTACTAACCGACAAATCTTCGTCATCTGATCGGTCGTTCCATTCATCATTCGTTTCTGACAAAAAATCAGAAAAATTTGCGGAAGGATTTGGAGAGGGGGTTCGATGCTGTAAATCTCGATCAGACTGGGATGAAGAAGCCACCTGCGAGTGACTACACAAGTTGTCGTCTAAGAATTAGCCGGGGATAGTTATCCTTTGGAAAAGTTTATTCATACATGCCTTAAAGCTTCGGCTGCGCTTACTGCCAACATCTCTCCGTAAGAGTGTTGTGCGCCGAATACCAAATTTGTCGCTCCTCCTTTTGACTCGACAGGTTTAACGCTAAAAATTGGTTGTAAAGGTTCAAAAATTAGAAAAATTAGGTGAACATCTCTAATGCGAAGAAGGATTTTTTTTTTTTTTTTTTTTTTTTTTTTTTTTCAGGTCACCCTACCTCCCCGGCACCGCAGGGGTATGGCGTCTCCAAAAGCCTCTGTTAAAACATTCAATCTAATCAAAATTCTAGATAAAGCTTCGAATACAATAGTGAAGGATGGCTTACTTTTTCGAGGGATCGAGAAAAACGTCAGCCATCAGAGTGCTTTGTGGTTGTTGTATAACCGAAGGATGTGTAACTGCCTATATCTTTTTTACATTAAAAATTTACCAGAGGCTCCTTGCATACAAGGAGTGAACTATCTTGTAAGCGATTTGCTTTAGCTTAACAGAAGACTCGATCAGGCGAAGGGAGTCGAAAACGCGTGTATGACATTTTACCACGTGCAGCACAGCATAAAAATCACGTGCTCGTAACCGTATATACTGTATATACTTTACGTGGTGTTTTTTACAAAAAAAAAAAAAAAACAATGGATTCCGGAGATTTGGATGTTCAAGTATCTCTGCTGAACTCCATTTTACGGAAACTGGTCGATGGTGATAATGGTGAACGCGATTATCCAACTTCCCTATTAAGTTCTTCTGAATTCGAGATCGTCCTGAGTGGTACCGCTTCAAAATCCCCGAAAGTAAAACCTTTATGCCTACTAATCCTGACGAAACTACACGAACTCATTCAAAAAAAGGGCGACAAATCCAATTTCGATTTGCTCAAGCAAAACACGAGTAAAATAATCCTGGAGTGGATATGTTCCACCGAAAAGCAAAAGAAATTGTGCGGGCACATCTCTCTTGAATCACTATTTCGAATCTCTCCCGAGTTAGGATCAAATGTTTTGTTGAAAGAGGGAATATTGGAAGACATGATGGATTGCGTGGAATTCGAATCGGAAGAAATTCAAGTTGCCATCACTGAAACTCTGTCGACCGCCTGCTCTCATAAAAATTGTAGGGCATTGGTTACCATGCATTGCCAAAAGTATTTGGCAAATTTGATGACCAGTAAAAACCAAAAGCTCAAGACCACGGCGGCAGTCGCGTTAACCAAGATAAAGCTGGATGAAGAAAAGTCACCTGGCGATGAGAAACAGGATGTCAACAGCAAGATTAGGGTAATCGATGAAGACGAAGCGTTACTTTCGGATCTGTTCGAGAGGGCAGTGTTGAATGATGAGGTTGATGTGGAAGTAAGGGTTAGTGCCATCGAAGGATTAGCATACTCTAGCCTGAAACCCACGGTGAAAGAAGTAATAACTTATCATCCGACGTTGTTCAAAGAAATCTTCAACCTCATTCAGGAAGAAAAAACGAACAATGCTTTATGTTATGGTGTGGCTGTCATGTTATCTAATATCACAACATACAGGAGGAGATTGAGTGAGACGGAAGAACAATATCTCAAATTGAAGAAGTTGGCAGGAGAAGCATCAAATCTGGAACCGGATCCGGTGGATGATGATGAATATGTGATCAATCGTGGCAAGCAAGTCATGAAACTAGGAGTGGTTCGTGCATTGACCACCATGTCAAAATGTAGTAGCGAAATGATTAGACAAATTGTTGCAAAGATATTTCTGAATCTGTCCACGGATCAAAATAATCGCGGGGCAATTGTTCAACAGGGTGGCATCAAGGTATTAATTCCATTGGCAACTAAGGGACCGAAGGAGACGACGGCGTATGCAACGCAAGCTCTCGCAAAGATAGCAATTACCATGGACCCAAGTTTAGCATTTAGGGGAGAAAGGGCAACGGACCTGGTGAGACCATTCTTAGCTTTGTGCCAAGGAGAAAGTGAACTCTGTCAGTTTGAAGCTCTGATGGCACTAACGAATCTGGAGAGCGTGGACGACGACATTCGAATGAGAATCTACGATGCCAAGGGAATCCCGATCATCGAAGGTCTACAGTTTTCAGATAATGTAATGATCCGCAGAGCTTCCACCGAATGTCTGTGCAATATGATGTTCTGTGAACCAGTTTATGAAATGTACAGCGAGATCGGAGAATCTGCCGCAAACAGAATTAAAATTTTGGTGGCACTTTCGGACGTTGAGGATTTCGAAACGAGGAGAGCATCCAGCGGGGCATTGGCGATTCTATCGACAAGTCCGAATGTGTGTAAAATGATAGCCGAACGGCCACGTGGAATTGATTTGTTAAAAGATTTGATATCTGAACAATCGATAGAGATTCAACATCGGTGCGTTGAGATTATTAAGAATATGACAAAGGTTGATAAAAAGATGGTGGAGACATTGGTCAGAGCCAAAGTTCACGAAAAGTTGGCGGAATTCATCAAGGAATGTAAGGTTGAACCTGTGGTGGAAATAGCGGTCGAAGCATTACGAGAGATATCAAAGTATTCGAGTTCTAATAGAGAGTAAATTCCTTAGTGCTAATGTAAATTTTTAAATTTGAAATTAGTAAATAATTTAATATTAATTTTGTTTCTATATTGCGTTCATTAAAAAAATCTCAATAAATAATTTTTTTTTTTTTTTTTTAACAAAATTTTTTTTACATAACTTGAATTAATAAATGTTATATAAGAATTATCTTTTTAATTTTTAATTAAATTTTATTTTCAACTTCATAATTACATGAATCATTATCTCGAATTAAACATCATTCCAATTTTCTTGACAAAGCAAAATCACTTAAAATAAATCGTTCGTTTATAACGAGTGATATCACGAATAACTAAATATAATAATCGAGACATTCCAAAATGAGGGTTACCAATAAAACAAAGAACTCATAGCTTTGAGTTTTTCCATTTTGGTGACCTCTTTTCAACGAAAGCGCGCAGTCCCTCTTTAACATTTTCCCCATTCATCCACGCTTTCGTTTCCTTGGAAGTAGAATTCTTTCGATTGGCTTCTGTCAATGATGCAGATTCGAGTGATAGTAAGATTGCTAGCTTAGAAATCTGTACTGCGTCTGGTGAGTTTGAAACAATTCGTGTGGCATATTTCAGGGCAGTTGGAATAACCAGCTACAGATTATCTCAAGAATTAGCGGGTCAATACTCTGCAATATGCGGATCAACAGACATCCTTCTTTGTAAATATCATTCGACTTACTTTCGAATCCTGGACAACTTCATTCACAACACCCAATTCTTTGCATTCTTTCGCGGAGATATGCCGTCCAGTCATGGCAAGCTCGCAAGCCCTCTGGTATCCTTAATTTGACAGGTGAAGTTTGTTGAAGCGCGGAAGATGAAGAGGAACGCAAGGAAATCGTAATAACACTCACCAATAAACCTAACCAATCTTGTCAACCCACCAGTCAGTGCCGCCAAGCCGCGTTTCACCTCCTTGAAAAAGTTATTTGGTTGTCAGGTTAATGTTCTCCGACATGGTAAGTTCAACCCAAACTTTACCGGTAGCCCAAAAACTGAATTCTCAGACGCGACAACAATATCACACGCCAAAACCATCTCCATTCCACCACCTGAAAATCTACCTTTCTTTTAATATAGAGTCCGTTCTTCGCAAAGATTTGATGATTTGACGGCAATTATTGATCCAAGCTCACCGATTGCAAAGCCACGAACAGCGGCAATAACGGGTTTTAAGCCCTTTGTCCGGCGGCTCAGGCCGCCAAAACCACTTTGCGGAAAATCGGTGTATTGAGGTATGTTTTTCCCAACGACGCTCTTTAAATCTAGGCCCGCGCAAAAAGCCTTTTCACCAGCCCCCGTGATCTTTTTTCATTCAGAAGACTCTTGAGCACTTTGATGCACAAAATAATATCTTCAAGAAAGTAATGTATAAATTAGGTTTACGATGGCAGCCCATAACTCCGGTTCCGAATGATACCAGTTGAAAACCTCGTCAAGTTCAAAATGTGCGGGAATATCAAGCGCATTAAGGACATCAGGACGGTTGATAGTTATGAGGACTATGTGAGGCGCTGGAAACGAGAGAATGGTAACTTTTGTTGTAGGTGGTGGATTTTTGAAAATTGTCGAACCCATTGAAAAACGTTGTCGATCGTGCGATTGATCAGTTTTGGATCACAATAAATAAATAAGCTGTATGTTTTATTATTATTATTTATTTATTCATTATAAGGATAACAAGCACTGGTACACAATGCGTAAACATGTGGGTCAAACTCAATTATTCATCTCTTGCGTTCTTTTATCGACTGCTGAAAACATCCTCAAAAGATGAAACAGTCGTATATTCAAAGTATACCTAAGTTAATCTTCGTTCTTTCTATAATCTTCTTATCCATTTACTTCCTTCGCCCACCGTCGGCAGAGGAAAATGAACGTATCGAACAAGCCCTGCGGGAGAAGAAACTCAAAAACCATCTGCAAAACGAAAAAGTTGCACAACAACAACAGCACGACGAGCTCTCTAGGAAACTCAATAAAATGATCACTGATAAACGCACAAAGGACGAACAGGAAGCTATCGACATTACGAGGAAAATAATTGCAGAACAATTGAAATTTAGATTTTATGATAGTATTCCGGGATCAAGCATTGTACACAATGCGATGAGGTTGAAAATGTTCAGACAACAACTGGAGTGTATGACCAGCCGAGGAGACTGGGTGTTTGATCCCACCCCTAGGCCGATCATTAAACACAAGCAGGATCCACTGTATGGAAGATGCGATAGAGAATTCGTTCAACAACAATCATGGTCACCTGATATGCCTGATAATTTCACAGTGGAAGAAAAATGGAACTTCACCCGAGAATCTGTTAAATATGTCTGGAAAACTCCGACAGAATGTCCGATGCCAAAATTTGATGTTTCACAAGCTTGCTCGATGTTTTCGGGAAAATCGTTTTTATTAGTTGGGGATATTTTGCACTTTCAATTGCACGAACTTTTCCTAGACTATTTTAGCGATGATTCGGTGCAATGCTATGGTGAGATTTCATGTAAGGAACATGTGCTCTGCGATGTTGATCCCAACAACAATTGGAAAACCTCAAAGATGATGTTCGTTAGAAACGACATAATCTCCCTTACGAAAAATGCTAGCAATGTCAACAAAATTCTCGAATATCCCTGGTTGATGAAAATTCGCCACTTTAATGTGATAATCATAAACAAAGGACATCATTGGCAAAATGATGTATCTTTTCGTAAGGGCCTAATTGATCTGATGAATTATCTGAGAAAAGGGTTTCCCGACATTCTGATAATTTATAAGGCAACAACTTTGGGCCATCTAAACTGCCAAGCAGCCAAAAAACCATTATCCTCACCTCCCAATGCAACTGAATTGGAATCTTTACCATATCATTGGGGCGAAATTCATCGGCAGAATCTGATTGCAAGAGAAATTGTTGAAACTGCTGGCGGTGTATTTTTGGATTTAGAATCGGTGATGATAACAAGAGTGGATGGTCACATCGGAGCCCGAGATTGTTTAAGATGGTGTATTCCCGGTCCCATGGATGTTTGGTTGGATTTTTTATTTCACATAATGAAGGAATTAAGATAATAAATAATTTAAAAAATAAAACAATAAGGCATATATACCGTTTATAATCTACACTGAATTTTAAAAAACAAAGATTTTTAATTCTTCTTTTTTTTTCCTTTTTTTAAAAAAAAAAAAAAAAGTTAAAGAAAAAAATTCCAGGAATATCGTGTATATTTTACATATATGTGAAGAGATGAAACAATAGTGTAGTTGTTGGTGGGACTTTTATTTCGTTTAAACAACTGTCGCTTTCGGGATTTTTTTTTTTTTCTTTCTCTTTTTTTTTTTTTTTCCACACTTGAATATATTCTAATTCTCATTTCATATTAACAATAATACGCTCAAAGTCTAATAAATATTAGAAAGTTCGGTACATCTCAAAATCTTTACTTTGCACAACTTGTCCTTGTTTGAATATGCATAAAGTGAAATGTTATTGAATGCTACACCTATGCAAAAATCGGCTTCATAGATGAAACATCTAGCTGATTTTGTAGGGTGATGTGTAGAAAAAAAAAAAAAACCAACCGAGGCTAACCCTTCTCGCATCTCAGTCGCGGTCAATCTCATCATTACATTTCTCGATCACCAACTTGATTTTTTGCATTAACTCTTCTTCGGGATTATCGCGTGGAACCATGAATGTATTGAAGCAGGTTCGTCCTTGAGGATATGAATTTTTTTCCCTGGTAGAGATCTTGAATTCCAAAGCCTGAAATCCGCCAATTGGTAGTTTTGGGCTACCAGTAACGAATCGCAAGAATCGCTTTTTATCCTCGCTGTCAAATTTTGACATAATCTGAATAACCTTATCAACTTCGTTGATACTTGATGCATCCAAAAGTTTCACATGTTTGCGCACCGTTTCGATGCTCCAATCTTCGTCCACCTGGAACAGAATCAACTGTGCGAACTCTATCGACGAGTACTCACGCAAAGATTCGAATGAGAATACTCGGTTAAACCCTTCCTTGAAAGCCTCGATTTGTCGACGGACACCACGGTCGAAAATCCAATCCTTACATGATAAGATATACGAGTTTATATTTTGACACGTCACAAACTGAGTGTCACTTCCATGATCGATCTCAGACTTTGTTGGACGACCAACGGGAATATCATATGGTATGCATGAACCGGCGATAAGTTCCGGATTTGCGTACAAGTTTTGTAAGGTTTTGCCAAAGGACGGATAAACCGATTGAATTGCTTCAATTATAGTCGATAAATCTTGGCAATCCGTGTCCAGACTTTTCAAAACACAATTAGGATGCAACAAGAGATCTACGAATATCTTGTTGAAGGGCAAATCTACCACTCGGCCGTCTACAATAGCCTTCGCCACAAACTGACCCAACAGTCGGAAGTTGTGCAAAATTTCCTTTCCCTCCTCCTCCTCCATCATCTTTTCGTCCATCAACGCCGGGTACAATCCATTAACATTCTTTATCCACGTGTCCTCCGCTCCGGCCTCTGAGTCATGCAACCACATATTCCGACAGACTTGCGAGAACTCGAGAGACATGACTGCATAAAATTCACGTGCAACGCCCTCACCGACACCACGTTCCCCGGTGAAAGTGACCTTGAGAATAGATTCAGTGGTGGCAAATTGCGGGAAGTTCTTGCAAAACCATCTAAACAAATCTGGTTTTGACAAGCCCGATACTCTCTTTTGCTCGGGTACCACCGGACTAATCAGTCGTTTTTCCTCATCGCTCAAGTCAAATTTTTTGAAATCACGCAACCCGAATGTCTTTGCTAGGAAAAATTCATGCCTCCTCTTGGCGCTCATCAAGAATCGGTAGCGCGTACATATCTTGAGATGGAAATCTGGAAATGTTTTAGTCAGAACGGACAATGGATCCTTGAGAAGAGGTATAATCAATTTGTCAACGTCTTGACAAAGGAACAACGTTGGGTCGTATTTATTTGCGAAAACGGTCTCCTCGTACAATGAGTGCAGTAGATCCATGAACTCTAGAATACCCTTAGCCACATCCGCGATCTCCAACTCATCAGAGTTTTCTTGTGCCTGAGATGGAGGGGGTGTCGATTTCACCTTTTTGAACTGTATTTCATATTCACCAGTCAAAAACTCGCCACTCCAGAACTCCGGAGTCAATCTTTCCTGCTTTTTTCTTAGCAAATGCTTGTATATCGCTGAATATATTGTGGACTCTAAATTTATACGTTCGCCATCCATATAAAACTCCATATGCCAGTCAGGTTGCGCTGGTGACGATGATGACGCGTGAGTGTTAGTGTTCTCTAACTCTTCCTCGCTCTCAGATTCCTCGTCATCATCCGAATCATCCTCCGATCCGTTGTCGTCGTTGTGTGTCGGAGTTATGAGGCCGGGTTGAGCATCATCCTCATCCTCAAATTCGTCTTCATCTTCAAATTCATCTTCGACTTCGAATTCATCAACCTCGGATCTTTGACGGTGAGATGATAAAGAGGAAGCATCTGATTCTTCATTTTCACCATCAGACTCATTTTCTTGATCAACTTGCTCAACTGTCACAGTGTTATTTGTGTTAGTGGGACCGGTAGAACTAATCTGAGGATTGACAGAAGACGACCGAAATGACACAATTGATTCTCCTTCTTCCGAGTCGGATTCATTCCCTTCACTACCGTACTCATTCGCACCATTGTCGTTCCGACTTTCTTGGTTTGGTGGGATAGCCGTAGATTGGGCGAGATGACGCTGAACTACTGAAATTGATGAAGTTTCCGAACCATTCTCGACATCAGATTCACGTTCTCCCTCAGCTATCAGATCTCCAGAAGGGGGGGGTAAATTAGTTGTTGTATTAGTTGCCTCATTTTCACCAGCATCTTCCCTATTTTCGCCCTGCATTGTTGTGAGAACTGTCGAAAGACGAATACGCTGAGGAGGCCCACCAATCTCGGTGCGGTGTGGCATATCAGCAAACAAATCTGGTTCATCGATGAACAAATCAGAACTTATAAATATTTGTCTTCTTGCTAGTGATGAAATGTGATTTTCGAAAGAAGTGGCAACATCACGGCGACGATCCATACCGGGATTGCGAGATTCCGTGCGATTAATTAATCGATCTAGTCTCGTAGCGAACTCATTAAAACATGTGTAAGGTTTGACTTTCTCGACAAATTTGTCGCTAGAATCCATCGAAATAAATTTGATTCTCAATTTATTCTCGATTATCGATTTTAAATGATCTTTTGTCGGCCGTGGTGCTTCCGGATATATCACATGATTCTCGAGTTCTTCTACAACGGATTCTATCAATTTTCCAAAGGGCGATCTTTTCGGATCATCGTCACTGATGAGTAGAGGCTTAATGAAAGAATTCACAAAGGCAGTTCGCTTGGAATCATCGGTGAAGGACGTGGACAACTTGTTGAGCAAATCATAGTTGACCAATCGATGATAGGTCAACTCTCTAGGATTATCCTTTAATAGTTGATTTAATTCTCGAATTTGATTGTTATAATCATTTTCGAGATTCTCGGAGATAGATTTTAATATCTCAAGCAAAGTTGATTGTTCTGTAGAAGCTTTCTTGTGTTTTGCGAATAAGATTTTACGACTAAATTTATCGTGTAACTGTTTTTGTTTCAATGTTCCTTGATCCGATAAAGGAAACAATGTATTCCCTGGTTCAGATGAAAAGGCAACGGTATCAACAACTGGAGCTGGAGGCCTCTGGTGGTGATTTTGATGTCTCTGAAATGTGGCCTCACTAGGTGACCCATGAGAAAGGGCTTGTGTTACCTGTCTAAAGTTGATCTCGCTCACATGCCGCGAAGTGGTGGATTGCAGTGATGGCCTTATTATGGTGGTTTGCACCCTTGGTATATTCGGAAGAGGTGGTCTTGAATTGTTGATTTCCCCTGTTTGTTGTCTTTGAACTGTATTGGTATGGCGTCGAGGTGGATCAATCTGGCTCGGTTGCCTTACAGAAATATTTTGTCGCGTTTGTCTAGCAGAGTTTCCCGGTCTAGAATGGTTTGTCGAGGACATTGCAAGACTTGAAAGAAATCGGAAAAAAGAGAGAAAATTAAAAAAAAAATTTTTTTTTTTGTTTATCTAATTGAAGGAAGAGTCGACTACTACCAAATTAGTAGGCCTCCCCTTGGAATAAGCGAAAGGGTATAAATATATGTTGCGATTGGAAACGTGTTTTTAGTTAGAGTTTAAAAAATTTTTCTTAAAGGTTTTAAGTCCGTACTTACCTATTTATGAATGAAAGAAAATTTGTGACGTATGTTAGATTGTCGTGTAACTAAATTCCGATTACGTAGATGCGTAGCAGGGAAGTTCCGTGTAACAACTAAATACGTGCTACCAAATTCAACGCATACACAAATGCTCATTCTTTCGTTCCATAGGTACGTGCAATTGTTCACATGTCTAATTTTGAACAATAGATGTTAATTGAAAAAAGTAAACCCTATTCCTATTCGCGTGTGTATATTGTTTAAGTAAATCACGCGCAAACCGTTATATTAATGCTTCTTGCAAGAACCACGAAATACTTGAAAAAAAAAGGATAAATGGTTAAAATGGTTAAAAATGAATGGTCTTTAATGCATGTTGTATCTCACAGGCGAAGAACTTGCGCACCTTTGAAAAGAAAATTTTGCAGTACTTACTGTTCATGCTTGATGCACGTGAAAACCTTGACTAAATAGTAATTGACCAATCAGAAATAAGCTATTCAGTCATTATCTACGGCCAATAAAAATAGTTTGTGTAGCAACTTTAATAGTCACGGGACATTTCCTTAAATATAATAGAAATGTTTTATAAATTATATATTGTATATAAAATTAAATTAGGCTAGTTATATATATTTTATTCTATTATTACTTTTTTTTATCTATAATTATATCATAATAACATATCTTTTATTTATTTATTTTTTTTTTAAACCCGTGGTCAGGCCAGTACTGTATATTTATTAATCATTAAGAAAACTGATAGAGATATATAGGGCAATTCTGCAGTAGTGACCTGCAGGCAATGAAGTTAACAGTTGAAAGGGTCTTTACCTGAACTGCTAACGAAGTGATAAATCACTCCCGAAGTTGCACTTAGAGTTTTAATAATTTTTAAAATAGAAACGAGTGAGTTAGGTAGAGACTTAGCTTTAGCGATACATTTTTAATGTAAAGTATACATATGTTTAATAAAGCACACATATCTAGCCTGACAGAGGGTTTAAAAAAAAAAAAAAAAAAAAAAGAACTTCAAAATATATAAAATTGATTAATAAAATACTGATTAATTTTAGCCAATTAAAAATTTAATTTATAACTTGTCATAATTTTGTCAATATGATTTCAATATTATTTCATTTTTTAAAACTGTGAAGTAATTTTTGAAAGGTGACGAAGAATTGTATATGGTCATAATATGATATAACTTTTTAGGATTTGTGTTATATAAGGTCTTTAAAGTTCTTTCTTTTTTATTAATGTCAAATAAAAGAAAAGAAACATATATGTTTTAATAAATAATTTCAGGTTCAAGCTTTGGACAAGGAAGTACTTTGAAGCCTTCCAAAAAGCCCAAGAGTACTTATGGTACCCTGGATCAAGCTGAAGAATAAAGACTAACACCTTATACCAAAATAGAAACAGAGTTGTCCCAGAAGCGATTAAGATCTTCCAGTTATTTTCTAAAATCTTCACCTACTAGAAGGTTGTCTGAAGAATTTTTAGGTATATTAAAAAAGATTTAACTATTTAAATAAATACTAATTTGTATATTTAATTTCTAATATTGTAATCGAGAAGTTTTTGAAGTTCCATAAAAGTCTTCATAAAAAAATTGATCAGTTATTAGAATATTAAAAAGCCATTAAGAATAAGGTTACCCATCTAGAAAACGAAATTTACACAAGTCAATATTTAATTAATGAACAGGATTTTATTGAGATAAGGTTTAATTTTGAATCTTCGAAAAACTTCAATAACATTTAAAATTTTATAATAATGTATGGTCAAGAATATCGCAAAAGAAGTATTTTTTGAAAAAATATATGTGAATTCCAAAGATTTTTGCTAATATACAGAAAAATATTTTCAGCAAGAACATTTCAAGTTTTTTGAAGGTCTCACAAGAAAACATTGGAAGATGTATTATGAAAAGTATATTTACCAAGTAGTAATTATTGCAGTTATTAATAATATAAATAAATTTATTAACAATTTTATTTATTTAATAGTTTGTGAGACAACATAGATCACTTCGAGGAATTATGGCTTCGAAAATCCGAGATGTCTTGTTTTCAGTCTTTGACAAAAACTCCCTGGATATAATCAATACAAATGTAACCGCTATCAAAATTACGGCCCAAAAAATTTCGTAAAAAACCCTGGAGTGCTTCAAAAAACTTTGTGTCTGTTCTAAGAGAGAAAACCAAAGCAAAATGGTATGCATTCTCAAAAAAGTTTTGCAAAAAAGGAATGCCTCCAAGGAACAAGTTTTATTTGCTATCACAATATACCAAATAATTATAAATCCATATAATGAAAGTATTTTAATTAATAAAATGTTAATTAAAAGCAAAATAGAAAAAAATAAGATAAGTTTTAAAAATTTTTATTATAGAGTTATTTGTTTATTAATAAAAGATAATCAGATTTACAAAAGGCAATTCAAGTGATAAAGATCAAGAAATGCATAAACACGAAGATATTAAATTTCAAAGTACTCTGAAAGAAGTAGAAAATGATAAAAATGATTCTTCTGTGAATCTGATTCCTCTTATAATTTTTTCCTAAAAATATATATTAGTAAATGTTTTACGTTTCCAAAGACCTTCGAAGAACTTCGAAGCTTACTTTATATTTCTTAATTTTCACTTTTAGAACTGCATCATTTATAGTAATTATTTCATTATGCAGATTTAGAACAGATTGACAAATTGTGATAGCAAATACCATTTGTTTGATGGAGGGGTCTCCTCTTGACCAAACTTTTTCAAGAATGCATGCCATTATGCTTTGATTCTTCTCTTCCAGAAGTTTGTGAAGATTATTGTAACATTTAGCTGTCTTGCGTGACTGCTTCTATATCATAATTTTAATGGCTGATATACTGGTATTGATTATATCAAAAGATCCTTCACCAAAAACTAAAAACATGACATCACGAACCTTCGAGCCTGTAGTTCCACAGATAGATCTGTATTACTTGATATGCTATTAAATAAAATTAGAGCATTAATAATTTAAAATAAATACATATGATTTATTGAACTTACTTCTTGGCAAATAGGCTTTCATAGTATGTTTTCCATCATTTTCTTGAAAGTCCTTCGTAGAACTCTGAATGTTCCCTCTGGAAAAATTTCTCGGTTTTCTTGCAAAAGTCTTCAGATTCCATGTATATATTTTCTTTAAACAATTCTTTCACAATTCCCTTGACCACCTTTTAATAAAATATTAAATATATCATTGAAGTTCTCCAAAAATCTTTAACTTATAACTTACATCAATAAATTCTTGTTCAATAATCAAATATGTACTCACATAAATTTCATTTTCGAGATGGGTGACCTTATTTTCTACACTTTTTTGCTGTTCTAACAACTGATCCATTTTCTTATGGAGGGCTTTGTTGGACTCCAAAATTCTCTCAAGAAACCTATTATGATCTAAATAAATAGTTAATATTTATTTATATATGCATTGTGTTTTTTTAATATACCTGAAGTTCCTTTATACATCCAAACCAGGAGCAATGTAGTTTCATGGGTACTTCTGGAAATTCGTAGATACTTGTGAGGAATGTCTTTATCTATATCGAGCAGAGGCATTTTTCTCAGGGTTTCAATATGATCACGAGACTTCGAAGAACTTGATGTCTTTTTGGAAACCCGTGAAGAACTTCTATTACGTTTTCCTTTTTCACCAGAAGTTTTACCTAAAATAATGTTTTAAAACATATTATGCATTTCTTGTCTTTTATTTGACATTAAGAAAATTGTGAAGAACCTTAGAGACTTATATAACACAAATCCCAAGAAATTATGTCACTTTATGACT